CAAAATTGTTTCATTCAGGACAGTGTTAACAATGAAATAGTTTATTCGGTTCCATGTGGGCTTACACTGGCTATGTGTCAAATTCCCATTTACAGTTCCGGCAGGTGATCAAAAAATTTCACCAACCCCATTCCATGTTAGAAAACCCGTCCCTGAAATATCCTCAAACTTTCACCAAAAATGGTAAGAATTTCCCCATAGTGGTTATATTTCAGAGTTCATTTCAAGAATTTTAATTGTATTCACACCTGTGGAATTTCCTATTTCAATTTTATTAGTCTGATGCCTGCCTGCCGATTTGTGTGTTCATCTATGTCGGAGTCAAACTGAGACATCTGTTTACAACATCGCAGACTAGGAGCCAGCGTTTTGTCAGTGTCGACTTAACAAGCATGTGGTTTTGCAGGCATCTGGTTTAATTGACCCCACAGACCTGTTAAAGTGTTTACATGAACGTTGCAATTAAGTTGTTAAGTTCTGACAAACCTGTGACATGTGACTTCTGAATCACACCGTATTTATTTTGATAGAACTTTTCATGTGAAGCTGCAAGCGCAAGCAATGACATTTTGATAAAAAATATAACATGTATTTTTTTAGTTCCATTTTGTTGTTTTAGACAGAGAGGCAGTTCATTGATATTGAGAGTGAATGTAAAACATGTTTTCAAGGGATGTAAATGTAAATAATGGAGAAATGAAAGATAAAGTATACGGAGGAGAGACTCCATAGCTGTTCTAGTGACAAGTGGTGCAGATAGTAAACAAAATGTGATCTAATTGAAGTACAGAAAATTGCAGAACTCCTGGTCTGAGAAAATCAAATTTTCGTTGGCTTGACGAAGATCCAAAGGCTGAATCACATTTTTTTTTGTCAGGGATTTTTTAGCTTTAACTTCCCTGAAAGTTAAACAGTTATTGTTTAATTTAGAAAGGTAATGATTAATCTCACAGTCCCTGAACCACGATATTTTCAGTTCCACACAGACCTTACTGTAATGCTAAAACACAAAATGAAGCAATTCTAGATTTTCATCAGGTTCTGAATCCCCCATTTCATTGGGGTTCCTTTTCAGATTAAATGGAGTTTCTGTCAAGACTATATATTTTCAGAGACTAAGTGTGAGTCTAGGGAATGATTAGCTGGTCCAATATATACTGTTGCAAGAATGTTCTTTATTTCATTTGTCTTTTGTAAGTATCAATTAATAACTTTGATTTCAATTTTTAAAATGTCTGTGATACCATTGATATATTGGGTTACAAGAATATTATTTGTATTTCTAGTTGGTCATTCCTATTGAGTCACATCACTACACTATGATTATTGAAGGTTGTCAAATAATCTTTATTGAAAAGTAAATATCTTCACATTGCCAACATTTTGTGCTTACCAGACATTGTGGTTTTACCTTGCTTTCAGCACCAAATGAACCCAGGTCCTCAGTGTGAGGGTGGTGGGGTAGCCCACTGGTTAAAGCGTTCACTCGTCATGCCAAAGGCCCGGGTTCGATTTCCCACATGACTATGTGAGTGAGTGGGTGAATATGGTTTTACGCCACTTTTAGCAATATTCCAGCAATATCACGACGGGGACACCAGAAATGGGCTTCACACATTGTACCCATGTGGGGATTCGAACCCAGGTCTTCGGAGTGACTAGCAGACACTTTAAACACCAGGCTAGCTATTCTCGAAACGTTCGTAACCCTACAAACTTCTTAAGCCCATTCTTAACACATTGGCTACGATCAAAGTTAAGAATTCTTAGGGCTACGAACGTTTCAAGAATAAGGGCCCTGTCTACCCCACCGCCCCCATGAATGTGTGAAGCCTATTTCTGGTGTCCCCTTGCCATGATATTGCTGGAATATTGCTGAAAGCGGCATAAAACCCAAATCACTTGCTCACTCTTCAGTGTGATGTGCATTCACCTTTATGATCAGTCTGCGCCATCTCTATGTTATATGTGGGTGTTAATAAATGTTGATATTTCAGAATTGACTTCAATATAATGTGAGTGCTTACAGTAAAATCTGCTATGGGTCAAATTGTGCTTACCATTATTAATGTTTATAACCACATAAATTCATGAACCATTTGGAGTCAAATCTTATAAATACCTCAACAGTATTACTTTCACAGACTGCTTCTATGATCATTAACACACAAAAATAACTTTTAGATGTCAAAAGAAGGCAGCAACTTATTTCATCACAATGATACAACACAAGCCCGCCCATTCTCTTAACGACCAATGAAGAAACACATGTCCGTTGGTGGGTGGCCCAATTTGTTTTGGTTTACAGAAACATGAATAGAGTATACCAAACAACCTTCCATGTAATACCATTTTTATTAAACGAGTTAATGATTTGGTATCAAACAAGCGAAAGCGAGTTTGATGCTAAATCTTTCACGAGTTTAATAAATATGGTATTTCACGGAAGCAAGTTTAGTATTCTGTTTATTACTCTCCAACATAAACTGATAGAAACTGCCTACGAAGTGAGATGACTCTCAGCTTTCCACGAGTCAAGTAAGGTCTAATACAATTGTGACAGAGGTATTAGCATTGTGACGTCATAACTGTGAACCATTATGACGTCATACGTCTAGCGGTATTACACTAGTGTAATATCGCCGTAAATATATTACACTGCAGTATCTTCCTCGAGCGTGTAATAAATGCAAATACATTCTTTGGTTGCCACAGAATAATGAGAAACATATTTTGATATCTGGATAAATGTTGATAAAATAGAGGTCCAAGGACCGGGCTACTTTAACACATTATCATATAAAATTCATGCAAGTAATAAATTCTGTACTACAAATGAATGACTATAGTGGACACCCCAAGGAGACTTTAACTCTCATCTACATTATATTCTTATATGAACAAGAAGGACAACGATCTATGGCTGAACAACTTTTCTATTGCAGTGAGAGCGAAGTTTCGGTGTAGGTTCTAACACATTGTCCTTCCTTACTACTCCAATTTCTTAATTAATGCCTCTGGGACAATGGGGTAGCCTAGTGGTTAAAGCGTTCGCTTGTCACGCTGAAGACCCAGGTTCAATCCCTCACAGGGGTACAATGTGTGAAGCCCATTTCCTTGTGTCCCCTGCTGTGATATTGCTGGAATATTGCTAAAAGCGGTGTAAAACCAAATTCACTCACTGATATGATGGATGGGGTTCCAACCTTTCACTCTCCAGGCATGTGCTCTATCTACTTGGCCACAGAGGCAGTCCTTAATTTAAGTAATTTCAAACTCATTTTTAAATTAAACTCATTCACTCACTTTTTAAATGCCTCCTCTCAAAGAAGATTAACCTCACTGTGTCAGCTATGAATCAAACTTCAGTACTCTTACAGATTACTAAACCTAAAAATGAACGTTACAGTCAGCAGTCAATATTAAGTTAGTGAGCAGTGAATAAATGTAACCAACCAATGGCATTTCAACATTGTCTCACTACATTGTTGCCACACTTGTGTATGTTACAGGAACTAATCAATGTTTGAATTATGATCACTGAAACAATTTTATATTATCAATGTCATCTTGCCTGCGGACATGTAGTGGTGTACAAAGCAGCAGTAAATCTCACTCACTCACTCATCCAACCTGCACAGATATCTCACAATGTTATAGGCGGTGGGGTAGCCAAGTGGTTGAAGTGTCGGCTTGTCACGCCGAAGACTCGGGTTCGATTCCCTTCATGGGTACAATGTGTGAAGCCTATTTCCTGTGTCCCCTGTCAAGATATTGCTGGAATACTGCTAAAATCTGCATAATACTAACTCACTCACTCACTCTCACAATGTTAGCTCAACAAGCATGGAAACTGCATGAATGTTTTTTCTAATCTGTTTCATTCTGAGGTGAACACATTTGTTACAGTATCTCAGTGTTCAGATAAAGTCATCTGAAGAATGTGGAAGAGCTCATCCCCAGAAATCTGACAGTGTTTTGTAAAGGGGTATGTACAACAGTGTACTATATGCAATTTCATAACTTTACACACATTTGACTTAATTTTCACAGAAGCATTATCAGGGTCAGGTCAGTGATAGTTTAAAGTAATGGTTTAAAAATGGCACAGTAATGGAACCGAAAATGATAAAGACTTTTCCAGAGTATTTGATAGCTAATGATTCAATGCCTCAAATATTGTAAGGCCTGTGATATCATCTAACTTGTTAACAAGTCGTATATTCATAGGCACTGCAATAGCTTCTGATATGACCTTTTAAAGCGTGGAATAATAATCAATATTGACCTAGCCCACATTGCCATTGTTGTGGACATCTGTCCCTTGTCCCCAGGGAGGTGACCAGTGTGCAATCATCTCAGACATTGTGTCCGCAGGGACTGACCAGTCTATTAGTCCAAAGAGACACTTGTCAGCTAGCCATCGAGATTTGGTCAATAATCCATTCCTGATCATCTGGTCTTTGTGCCGTGAGCCAGTGTCTGTCCCTGAGTAGCTACTGCGGCTGTATATAGTCCTCTGAGGTCTCGGAAGGTCATTGCAGATGCTTTATGGGAAATGTCACATTCTCCGTTGTGCTTCATCAAGGTGCCATAAAACATTTGCTCCGACCTCAAGAAAATTGCTACATGGTTTTCAAAATTATTGTGAAGTCATTTGCATTTGAACATTTTTATATGGTATGGACAGACCAATTTGTTTTGTTGTTTTACTGGCTCTGTAGGCCATAATGTCAAGACGCTGGTGATCAATTACAGAATAAAAACATTCTTCTTCAGTTTATTCAAGTGAAAAATTTGAAATGGTTATTGATTATCATTAGAGTTGTTTGTTTTAGCTTTGTGAAACTACTTTTGAATAAAAAGTGAAAACACAGCTACTGACATGGAGGTTATTAAGGTGAATACACGCTTTACTGAGCACAGCACACAGGGCTCTGAAACATGAGTACTATTTGGGGATAGAATGATTAATCTGATATTTGAAAAATCATTTGTTTTCAAGCTATGTGTGAGTTGTGGAGGATCTTGGGTAGAGCGGTTGTGTTGAATGGTGGAGGGGAATCTTGGGTAGAATGGTTGTAGTGGAGGATCTTGTAGGGCAGATCTTGGGTTTGTGTTGGTGGGGGTCTTGGGTAGAATGGTTGTAGTGGAGGATCTTGGGTAGAATGGCTTGTGTTGGTGGTGGAGGATCTTGGGTAGAATGGTTTGTGGTGGAGGATCTTGGGTAGAATGATTGGTGGTGGAGGTGTTGGTGGAGGGTCTTGGGTAGAATGAATGGTTGTAGTGGAGGATCTTGGGTAGAATGGTTGTGTTGTGGAGAGCTCTTGGTAGGAGGAATGGTTGTGGTGGAGGATTGGGTAGAATGGTTGTGTGGTTGGGTAGAATGGTTGTTGTGGTGGAGGATCTTGGGTAGAATGGTTGTAGTGGAGGATCTTGGGTAGAATGGTTGTAGTGGAGGATCTTGGGTAGAATGGAGGATCTTGGGTTGTGGTGGATCTTGGTGATCTTGGGTAGTGGATAGAATGGTTGTAGTGGAGGATCTTGGGTAGAATGGTTGTAGTGGAGGATCTTGGGTAGAATGGTTTGTGGAGATCTTGGAGGATCTTGGGTAGAATGGTTGTAGTGGAGGATCTTGGGTAGAATGGTTGTAGTGGAGGATCTTGGGTAGAATGGTTGTAGTGGAGGATCTTGGGTAGAATGGTTGTAGTGGAGGATCTTGGGTAGAATGGTTGTAGTGGAGGATCTTGGGTAGAATGGTTGTAGTGGAGGATCTTGGGAGGATCTTGCAGAATGGTTGTAGTGGAGGATCTTGGGTAGAATGGTTGTAGTGGGAGGATCTTGGGTAGAATGGTTGTAGTGGAGATCTTGGGTCTTGGGTAGAATGGTTGTAGTGGAGGATCTTGGGATCTTGTAGAATGGTTGTAGTGGAGGATCTTGGGTAGAATGGTTGTAGTGGAGGATCTTGGGTAGAATGGTTGTAGTGGAGGATCTTGGGTAGAATGGTTGTAGTGGAGGATCTTGGGTAGAATGGTTGTAGTGGAGGATCTTGGGTAGAATGGTTGTAGTGGAGGATCTTGGGTAGAATGGTTGTGGAGGATCTTGGGGATCTTGGGTGGAGGGAATGGTTGAGTGGAGGATCTTGGGTAGAATGGTTGTAGTGGAGGATCTTGGGTAGAATGGTTGTAGTGGAGGATCTTGGGTAGAATGGTTGTAGTGTAGTGGAGGATCTTGGGTAGAATGGTTGTAGTGGAGGATCTTGGGTAGAATGGTTGTAGTGGAGGATCTTGGGTAGAATGGTTGTGTTGGTGGAGGATCTTGGGTAGAATGGTTGTAGTGGAGGATCTTGGGTAGAATGGTTGTAGTGGATCTTGGGTAGATCTTGGGAGGATCTTGGGTAGAATGGTTGTAGTGGAGGATCTTGGGTAGAATGGTTGTAGTGGAGGATCTTGGGTAGAATGGTTGTAGTGGAGGATCTTGGGTAGAATGGTTGTGGTGGAGGATCTTGGGTAGAATGGTTGTAGTGGAGGATCTTGGGTAGAATGGTTGTAGTGGAGGATCTTGGGTAGAGCACTTGTGTTAAGGTTCATGGATAGAGTTGCTGTGCCTCTTGTGTTTTGTTCCTTTCTCTCTCACCGTTCCACAATTGTCATTCTTCATTGTCATCCAGCATGCACTCCACATCTGACCTCCACCATGTCACTTCCAGTCCCAATCAAGAAGTGAGCAATGTGGCACGTCAAGTGGAGTGGACAGCCACAGCCATAGTTGGTCAATATTTTCTCTCATTAGAGGGACGTTTTTTTAATCCCCACTGGCTTCCGTCCTTCAACTGTGTTTTGTGCTGACCGCTGCCCACTTCACTTGACCACCCGCTTTGTCTGTGGCCAACTCAGCTGGGCGGGACAGTCTAATTATAACCTGACTGTCACATTCTGGAATTGATATTTTGTCAAAGAAAACGCACTTGATGATAATAAACACTTGACCTGTTTGCCTGGATGTTCGAAAACAAATCACACTGACATGGAAAAATATTAGTTGTGCACCAATCAGTATCCTGCATACTGAATGTTCACATGACTAACACCGTTACTGATTTAAATGTCTCACAAAATGTCACTCTAAGAAAATAACACTAAGGATTAGGTAATAAAGAAATCTTGCAAAATGTCACTTGAATAAAAAAACACTGAAGGTTAAGTATTGAATGTTAGAAAGTCATTAAAAATGTTACTTCTATGAAATACTAATGTTGATTACTATTTAATATGTTCCACACAAAATGTCACTTATAACAAAAAACACATTATACTTGCAGAAAATCAGTAGTTCATAAACAAAAATGTACAAGCTTGATCAATAACAGGAAAGGAAATGAATGTTTACTTTTTTAGAATAAACACATGACATGCACACTTACACACAGGATTCTACATGGTCTGTAACTCATGCATATTTGATACCAAAAAATCTGAAATACTAACAAAAGTTTTTAAATGGGTCATAACCCCATAAATTTCACAAAGGAAATTTAAATTCAGACTGAATATTGAGAATATTTTGTAAGAATTGTTGACTTCTACTATGTTTGCTGTTTAAATTAGAACAATTATTGAAACCTTTTTTAATTAGATGATACTGAAATAAATATAAATAACAGTAATAACTCATTTGCTCTAATGTAAAGAAAAAGGAAATAATGATCCCAAACTGGGTAAATGTTCACACCCTCTCCCTTCCCTTAAAAAGTTTAACTTTTAATTTCGGTTCACTCTTTTATATATTTAACAGGCAGATTTGATTGAAAATAGTTTGTTATATGACTTATAATGTTTAACAATGATGAGCATTATATTTCGTTTTTGTAACATTTATATATCATTCACATTGTACAGACCCGTGAAGATCCGGGTAGAATAGGTCTTCAGCAACCCATGTGCTTGCCATAAAAGGCGATTATGCTTGTAGAAGAGGCTAATTAACGGGATCGGGTGGTCATAAATTTTGACTTGGTTGACACATGTTGGTTGAAAATAAGATCGTGCTCATGTTGATCACTATAATGTTTGGTCCAGATGAGCATTATTTTTTCATATTTGGAATACATGCGGCGAAAACTATACTCACTCACTCACATTGTACATTCATCATAGCATGTTTATTCTTCCATTGTATCCCGGAGCGGTAGGTATTCACATAAGCTTGTGTTTGTTAGCCAGTCTGGTTCCTTTCATTGGAAAATAAATATGTTTAAATAAAAAAGTGTAAGATATAATATGCAGTGAGTGATTGTGACTCCCATTTTCTAAAGGCGATGAAAGACGATGTGATTCTGACAAACATTTATTGTACGCTTATTTTGTTTGAGCCAATGAATGGTGTAATTTTTATTCTCACATGCATGTGAAATGCTTTGTCATGGTTGTTCCGTTAATTGTACCTTTCTTGTTACTGCCTTTGTTTGAGAAAAAAAACCTGGTGATATAATTTGTAAACTAATGACCGTATCTTGCTGCAACTGGCAACATTATTTATAGAGTCTGCATTTCCTGAACAACTGAAACCCATTTTGTTACCTGTGATTAACGATGTTGTCAGGTGTAATTGCCAGGTAGTTTCAGGCATGGCACACAGGTAGAGGGTGTTGTTTTTCATGTCGTCGTCACTCACTTGGGCAGAAGTCATTCAGTGCTGACTTAGGGCAGATGTTCAGCTCACTGTCTGTAGTTGATACATGGAAATAGAACAAATTGAGGTGAAATACAAACAAATCATTAATAACTGTATATGTTAGACAGAGATGACCATTGTATATTGAAAAGGTTTTCATGGTGAACCCATGGTGCCCTCAAAAGACAAAAGCCCAGAATAAAGGCCATCATAAGACAATTAATGGCCCAGATAAGACAAGGCCACATAAGACAATGGCCCTGATAAGACAAAGCCACATAAGACAATGGCCCTGATAAAACAAACCCACACATAAGACAATGGCCCAGATAAGACAAAACCACATAAGACAATGGCCCTGATAAAACAAACCCACACATAAGACAATGGCCCAGATAAGACAAAACCACATAAGACAATGGCTACAATAAGACAAAGCCACATAAGACAATGGCCCTGATAAGACAAAGCCACATAAGACAATGGCCCTGATAAAACAAACCCACACATAAGACAATGGCCCAGATAAGACAAAACCACATAAGACAATGGCTACAATAAGACAAAGCCACAGAAGACAATGGCCCTGATAAGACAAAGCCACATATAAGACAATGGCCCAGATAAGACAAAGCCACATAATACAATGGCCCAGATAAGACAAAGCCACATAAGACAATGGCCCTGATAAAACAAACCCACACATAAGACAATGGCCCAGATAAGACAAAACCACATAAGACAATGGCTACAATAAGACAAAGCCACATAAGACAATGGCCCTGATAAGACAAAGCCACATATAAGACAATGACCCAGATAAGACAAAGCCACATAAGACAATGGCCCTGATAAGACAAAGCCACATATAAAACAATGGCCCAGATAAGACAAAGCCACATAATACAATGGCCCAGATAAGACAAAGCCACATAAGACAATGGCCCTGATAAAACAAACCCACACATAAGACAATGGCCCAGATAAGACAAAACCACATAAGACAATGGCTACAATAAGACAAAGCCACATAAGACAATGGCCCAGATAAGACAAAGCCACATAAGACAAAGCCACATATAAGACAATGACCCAGATAAGACAAAGCCACATAAGACAATGGCCCTGATAAGACAAAGCCACATAAGACAATGGCCCCAATTAGACAAAGCCACATAAGACAATGGCCCAGATAAGACAAAGCCACATAAGACAATGGCCCTGATAAGACAAAGCCACATAAGACAATGGCCCTGATAAGACAAAGCCACAGTGGCCTAGTGGGGTTAACTCGTCACGCCGAAGACCCGGGTTCGATTCCCCACAAGGGTACAATGTGTGAAGCCCATTTCTGGTGTCCCCCGCCGTGATGTTGCTGGAATATTGCTAAAAGCAGCGTAAAACCAAACTCAGTCAGTCAGTCATAGCAACATAATGGCCGTGATAAGATGCAGGAAATGATTTCATTCCAACAAAATCCCGTAATGGTCCTATAAATCAAAGACCACAAACATTGTTCAGTGTATATCCTCCTTTCAAAAAGATAGTCAAGTGCATTCCTGTATCTTCAATCAACATGGCTTTATATGAAAACAATATTAGATATCTGAAATACCTCAGCAAGTCAACCAATGTAGAATTAACAAAATGATCTTGGGTTAAATGTATTATTTATTATTATGATCATGAATTTTAACTATTACATACCTGCATGTTTGAAGCCCATGAGTAAATGAAAGCGCTCACATAGAGTTATTTCCCTTTGTACACACAGTTTGAAATATACAGTTGACTTGCCAGTTTATCAGACTGTCAGTGTTCGTATCTTTTTATACACCTCCTAGTTGTAATGGCTTCTATATGCAATCTTTCTGAAATGATGTTAAGCTCTGTAAAATTATTCTGTTGCTAATAATCTTTTTTAAGTTAAAATAAACCCTAATTCCATGTATTGAAAAAAATATTAATCAATTGGAAATCCTGTTTACATTGTTTTCAATTATAGAACAAGTAATCCATCAAGAAGAAATTTAGTAAGTGACAGACATAATTTACCAGTGGAAAGAAAATTGTATCTTGACAGCCAGTTTTAACCAGTTGCAGGGGAATAGTATTAGAGATGCCTTCAGGAGGGACAGACTCCATGCATTTGGAAACTTTGAATTTGATCAATAATTTGACAGATTAATGAAGGAAGGTGTGGGTTGTGGTGCGAGGACCTATAGGCTACGCAAGACATTACAGCAGCAAAGGTTCTCTCTTCAGAGCTGGCTGCTGGCTCATTTACTGGGTACTCAATTTTGCGTCACTCATTTACCAATTTTGATGCGAGGAGAGTAATGCTGGATTAATCATTCATACCTACCGGAGAAAAAATGCATGAAAAATCATCCAATCGGTTGGAAGAAAATTTGATACCTATGAACCATGCTACAAGAGGCACGTGCAAATGGCATCAAGCTATTAATTTTATGTTTTTATCAGAGACACCTGAAAATGGGATTTGTGTATTAATTAACCTATAAGACATGAGAAGAGGATATTATCCAGACATGATAATGTCTGGCTTTTTTTCAGATTTAAAAAATCAAACTGGATAAAACCGGATATTGATGTTTGAAGATGTTGTAGGGAAACATCTTGAGTGTTTCTACGGCCCAATCATATGGAGGACGAGTAGTTTATAGACCAGCTCTGTTCACATATGCCTCGCAATGTCAATATTAGCATAGTTAGTTTGACAGTGCAGTGACGTCCATATAAGGACTGGACAGGAATTCCAGCAGACGTCTGATCGTTATAGAGTCATCAGACAGAATATTATAACCCATCAGTATCTGGTTATACCCAATGAGATGTAACCTCGCCAGACAATTATGTTGTTGGCTATTTCTGTTACACATTCCAGGTGTTTTAG